ATCCATACAACCATCCTTCCTACATCCATACAACCATCCTACCTACATCCATACAACCATCCTTCCTACATCCATACAACCATCCTACCTACATCCATACAACCATCCTTCCTACATCCATACAACCATCCTACCTACATCCATACAACCATCCTTCCTACATCCATACAACCATCCTACCTACATCCATACAACCATCCTTCCTACATCCATACAACCATCCTACCTACATCCATACAACCATCCTTCCTACATCCATACAACCATCCTACCTACATCCATACAACCATCCTTCCTACATCCATACAACCATCCTACCTACATCCATACAACCATCCTTCCTACATCCATACAACCATCCTACCTACATCCATACAACCATCCTTCCTACATCCATACAACCATCCTACCTACATCCATACAACCATCCTTCCTACATCCATACAACCATCCTACCTACATCCATACAACCATCCTTCCTACATCCATACAACCATCCTACCTACATCCATACAACCATCCTACCTACATCCAACCAACCATCCTACCTACATCCATCCAACCATCCTACCTACATCCATCTTAAAAAGGCCTCCATAAATACATCTATAAAAAAAGTAAACCAAAATGAAAATGAAAATAAATAAAAATATTGCATTTTATAAATTATTTAATAAAAAGGTTTTCTTTAGGGGTAGTGGTTGGATTAGTCTGAGTTTTAATATATATAAAAATATATATAATAGATTTATAAATTATGATAATAAAAATTATATATGTATATATAAAGAGAGAGAGAGAGAGAGAGTTGCTTTACTTGTGTGATAAAATAATCTCCAGAACATGATAATTGCATCCTTAAAAATAAATTAAATAAAAATTTTATTAAAAATAAATTAAATAAAACAATTATTAGTCATAAATTACTAAATATTCTCCAGAATATAACACGCCTTCCATGAATACATCCATAAAAAATTAATTTGAATACAAGTTATAATTAAATATTAATTAAAAATAAATTACATTTAAAAAATACATATCCTAAAATAATAAATTATTTAAAATTACTTAAAATATGACAAAACTTCCATAAATACATCCATAAAGTAACAAAATATTAAAATACAGTTTTTAATATTTTATTTAATAAAAGTAAAAATAAAAAATATATTTAAACCTTTTTTTAACAACAAAAAAAAAAGGTTTTCTTTGATGTGTAGTGGTTGGATTAGTCTGTTGTCTTTAAAATGAGCTTGTCTCTAACATGTCATCATTTAGATGTGTGAGTGTGCGGATGTTTCTGAGGTTTAACCGCAGCGTTCACTGATCATCTTCTCACACTGTTCTTCTCAGAGTTAATAGCTTGAGAGAGAGGAAACAGAAAGAGGGAGCCTCACATGACGGACCAGCATGCTATATTTGTTTATTTCTGCAGATGGAGATCCGCACGAGTTTCGAGGAGCTGTATCGCGTGATGTCGTGGCGCGAGGAGTTTCGCTGGATGATGCTGCGGATCAAGCGCATGGAGGAGCCGTGGGTCAGCGCCGTCCGCTCCCTCGCCACCAAACAAAACCTCAACAACCACAAGCGCAAAAAGGTGAATTGTGAGAATCTCAGTATTGACTGAACGTGTCGGCCTTTAGTAATTCAGCCCGTGTTCCCGCCCTTTTACCAAATGAATAATTCACACAAATGCAGATAGACGCACTTTCCCAAGAGCATCTTGACTTTCTCTTTCTCCTGCAGTCAGCCGGCGCAGCGGGACTCGAAACCGCTCTCACGCATGCGTCTCTCTAGAGATTGCCTGATGTCAAGCTTCAAATAACCTCAGTTGTTTAAAGCTTAAAGCATGTCATGGTTACCCATAATCCTCCAGTGATACTCATCCCCCACACAAATGTGACTGCGTATGAGTCCCTTGACATGTTAATACTAAAACAAGTGCCGTGAATAAAAAATGTATGACTGCGCCATACAGATTCTGACATGACAGAGAATTTAAGATATTGCAACCCACAGGATTTTTGTTTTTAAACCCTAAATGTAACCTTCTCTTCCCATTTACTTTTCACAATAAGCATATCTGATATTTAAGAACAGAAAGAGGCCATGTTGCCAATTATTAGGCAGATATTAACCATTAAATTTCATGGAATCAGACTTTTGTTTAGTTTTAATCAGGAACATCAGTTTAATAATGAAAATGTAGTGATTCATTATGAAAATAATGAAATAAAAATACTATGCGATTAATCTTTTATTTGCATTATTTATTATCCTAATAAATCAGTTTTTTGAATATTAATTGTATTATATTTTTAATATGTATTATTAATACATTTAAAAATATATAATGTTATTATTATATTATAAAAATATTGATTTGTGATTTAATGATCAATAAGCATATTGTTTAATTACTAGTAAATTTACAGTGACTGTTTTTATATTTTATATATTAGTATATATTATACATTTTTTTATATAATATTAGAATATTTGAGATCATTATTTACTGTTGCTTATGTCAAAACTTTTTTTTTTTTTTAGTAACTCAATTGTGGATGATGATAATAATAACAAATTATTATTATTATTTTTAAATGTATTTTTAATTAAATTTTTTTTATTTTATTTTAATCATTAAAATACAATTTAAACAATTTTTATTAAAATAGCTCTATTTACATTATAATTCAAATCAAATTTGTATCTTACATAAAATGATATTTCTGTAAGATAATATTTATCGTTTTTTTCTTTATTTTGATCTTAGGTCCTGGTGCACCTGGGTCTCCTGACGAAGGAGTCTGGTTTTAAGATAGCGGAGAACGCGTTCAGCGGAGGTCCTCTGGGCGAGCTGGTTCAGTGGAGTGACCTGATCACCACGCTGTATCTGCTGGGACACGACATCCGCATCTCAGCGTCTCTCGCCGAGCTCAAGGAGTGAGTCTCTGACTCCGTCTCTGTCCTCACTACTCAATTCAGTTCCGTTTAGTTCAATTGAATTCAATTCTGTCTCTCCAGGATCATGAAGAAGGTCATGGGCAACAAGTCCAGCTGCCCCACAAAGGGTGATAAAGTTGTGGAGCTCATCTACATAGACATCGTGGGTCTGGCTCAGTTCAAGAAGACTCTGGGCCCGTCCTGGGTCCATTATCAGTAAGTTCGCATCAGATTTTGTGGATTAGTATGAAGTAGGGGTGTAACGATTCATCGATTTTGATCGATAAATCGATACGATGTCTGGCGATACGATGCATCGATGCCACGCGTAAAATATCGATATCTGTAGTATAAATAGGCACGTTTATTTTGGCACTGTCCACATTTTCACATAATGTCCGTCTAAGCATTACTGACAATGCGTGCATTCTCGTTCAAACTCACGTATCAGGACTCGATATAAGGATTGCCTGAAGGCACAAGGTGAGCATAAAAGACGCTCGGGATTGTTTGCGTAACAGTCGAGCGCTGTGTGAGAAGTTTTCTGCGCACACATCTGAAGCGCGCGCACGCACACAGACAGCCGCGTCTACACCGCGCGAATACTAAATAGAGTTCTCTTCCGCTTTTTTGTGCATGGATGAATAAATACCGGCAAAATTACTTCAAAATGCACGTTTTGGCGAATATCCTAGTAAACGCAGTCGGTTAGGCATATGTCTTAACGTAAACAGTTGAGAAAGAAAAGGCATGTGTATCAGTAGTTAAATGTTTATTTCTGCAGATGGAGATCCGCACGAGTTTCGAGGAGCTGTATCGCGTGATGTCGTGGCGCGAGGAGTTTCGCTGGATGATGCTGCGGATCAAGCGCATGGAGGAGCCGTGGGTCAGCGCCGTCCGCTCCCTCGCCACCAAACAAAACCTCAACAACCACAAGCGCAAAAAGGTGAATTGTGAGAATCTCAGTATTGACTGAACGTGTCGGCCTTTAGTAATTCAGCCCGTGTTCCCGCCCTTTTACCAAATGAATAATTCACACAAATGCAGATAGACGCACTTTCCCAAGAGCATCTTGACTTTCTCTTTCTCCTGCAGTCAGCCGGCGCAGCGGGACTCGAAACCGCTCTCACGCATGCGTCTCTCTAGAGATTGCCTGATGTCAAGCTTCAAATAACCTCAGTTGTTTAAAGCTTAAAGCATGTCATGGTTACCCATAATCCTCCAGTGATACTCATCCCCCACACAAATGTGACTGCGTATGAGTCCCTTGACATGTTAATACTAAAACAAGTGCCGTGAATAAAAAATGTATGACTGCGCCATACAGATTCTGACATGACAGAGAATTTAAGATATTGCAACCCACAGGATTTTTGTTTTTAAACCCTAAATGTAACCTTCTCTTCCCATTTACTTTTCACAATAAGCATATCTGATATTTAAGAACAGAAAGAGGCCATGTTGCCAATTATTAGGCAGATATTAACCATTAAATTTCATGGAATCAGACTTTTGTTTAGTTTTAATCAGGAACATCAGTTTAATAATGAAAATGTAGTGATTCATTATGAAAATAATGAAATAAAAATACTATGCGATTAATCTTTTATTTGCATTATTTATTATCCTAATAAATCAGTTTTTTGAATATTAATTGTATTATATTTTTAATATGTATTATTAATACATTTAAAAATATATAATGTTATTATTATATTATAAAAATATTGATTTGTGATTTAATGATCAATAAGCATATTGTTTAATTACTAGTAAATTTACAGTGACTGTTTTTATATTTTATATATTAGTATATATTATACATTTTTTTATATAATATTAGAATATTTGAGATCATTATTTACTGTTGCTTATGTCAAAACTTTTTTTTTTTTTTAGTAAAGTTCAAATTTTAAAAAATAAGTATTATTGTATTTATATTTTGTATTTTTATTTTATTTTTCAAAGTTAACCATAACATTTCAATACTCTGCTTTTTTTGGAGTATGAAGTCATATTTTGATTAGTTTTAAATAGGACTGCCAATTTGATGTGTTAATTCATCTTGATGTGTCTCATTATTGTTAAAGAAAATAAATGTTATGCAATAAAATACAGTTAATTATTATAATGAATTATATTATTTGTGAAATATTACAAATAAAATTAGATTTTATATTTATACTTTTTAAAAAAGAATAATGTACACATTTATATAATAATATGATTTAATTGGGATATCATTTAATTAATAATCCAATTTACAGGGTTTTTTATTTATAAGAAAAAGAAAAAAAAAAA